CCCTCCTCTCTCCACCCTCTCTCTCTCTCCCCTCTCTCTCTCCCCTCCTCTCTCCACCCTCTCTCTCTCTCCCCTCTCTCTCTCCCCTCCTCTCTCCACCCCCTCTCTCTCTCTCTCCTTGAGATTATTTTCCTCTGCCGTCATCGATCATCACTCAACATCAGCTATGCTTCCCCGCCACGCTCCCTCACACCGTCTGTGGCTGTTGTCACGGTAACACTGACTTCATTGAGTACACCTCCCACCCCCTTACACACCTAGCTATACAACCCCACCCCTTCCCGCCCCCAGTCCCCAGACCCAAATGCTAGAGCGCGTGCTGCGGCAAGGACGACGCACCGTTACTGCGACGATGACTCACCGTTACCACGATGACGAAGTAGCGCCGCAGACAACACGGCCACGTGACAGTTCGGCGATCGGTGGAAGCGGCGGCACACCGGGAACACAAGACCATCCCGTTGCACGCGCGCAAAAACCGGAGGCGCCGTGGGCGACGCAAGGGGGCGCTGGCAGTCGGCCAATCGTTCTCTGTTCGTACGGACGGCGGCACCGCGCGAACCGAGACCACGCCTTCTCGTATACCGCGCGTTACGACACCACACACAAGCAAACATGACTACAAATAAATTAATTCACGCGCCCCGCGCGGCGGGGACGCCGGCGATAGTCACCCGAGCGCCGCGCGCATGTCGTAGAGGGCAGCACTCGTATGTCCGCGCCGCGTCGCGTGACGGCCCCGGTCTTCGGTGCACGCCGGTTTCGATGACGTCATCGCACAGAGCGTGCACGAGATTCGATAACGTCATCGTGCGGAGCGTGCACGAGGTTCAATGACGTCATCGCGTGGAGGGTGCACGAGGTTTGATGACGTCATCGCGTGGAGCGTGCACGAGATTCGATGATGTCATAGCGTGAAGCGTGCACGAGGTTCGATAACGTCATCGCGCGGAGCGTGCACGAGGTTTGATGATGTCATCGCGAGGAGCGTGCACGAGTTTCTATGATGTCACCCCACCGAGCGTGCACGAGGTTGGACGTTGCCGTAGGCGCCCATGCAGTTGCCTACCGTCCGCGGCGGCAATCGCCACCGGCCAGTGGTGCCACCTTGTGGTCACGGCTGGTGACGTAGGGCGCCGCCTGACCACACTGTTTCTATACATTGCCCTGCAGGTGGCGCTACTCATCAAGCCGCAATGCGAGGGACAGAGAGTGACAGCGAGGGCCCGCTGCCACCAGGTGCCACTGCTACTTGAGTTGCCACGTGATGTTGGCAACAACAACAGTGTGCACACTGTCGCCAGCAGGTGGCGCTGCTACTTGAGTCGCCGCACGATGTTAACGACGACACCAGCCTGCACGCTGCCGCCACCAGGTCGCACTGCTACTTGAGTCGCTGCGTGACGTTGGCTAGGGCGACGGCGAAGGCCTGGGCTGCAGTGAACGGATGCTGGAAGTCGAGCGTGTATGCGTTGCCGTCGATACGACCAAACTGCATCACCTGCAACCATGACAATGCGAACGTCACCGACACACCAGGGGGCATCGCGGTCGCGATAATGGGTCAACATGAGTATATATATATACATAGAGAGAGAGAGAGGAGAGAGAGACATAAAGAATAAAGACGTTAGAGAGAGAAGAGAGAGAGGAGAGAGAGAGAGAGAGAGGATAGAAGATAGAGAGGCTTAGAGAGAGAGAGGATAGAGCAGAGATAGAGATAAGATAAGGACGAGAGAGAGAGAGGGAGTGGAGAGAGAGAGAGAAGGAGAGAGAGAGAGGTAGAGAGAAGAGAAGGGGAAGAAAGGGAGATGAGGAAGAGAACGAGAGAGAGATGAAAAACAAAGAGAAAAGATAGAAGGAGGTAGAACAGAAAGCACCAGCAGACTATAGCAAAAGACAGAAACAGAACCTCACGAGATCGAACGCACGGCCGGACCGCAATCAAAAAACAAGCCTTCATCTCCAACGTCCCCATTCTCCCGCTACCCATCCCACAACGCCTACCTCTTGTCGCTCACCGCCGCCAGGTGGCGCCACCTGCCGCTCACCTGGCTTCTTGCCTGTCGACTGCGACCTGAAAGTTTCTTCTGCCGACTCCTGGCAGTGACACGGCCGCCGAAGTCGAGCTGGTACACCTGGGTGCGCTTCGTTCCACAGCGCCGCCTGTTACGCATGACAACTCGCCGGCGCCGCGAGGACGCGTTGCCACCTGCTGAGAGGATCTGCCAACCGGCAGCGGAAAGCAGGCGTCGGTTCGCCGCTCCCTTCTGCAGCCCTGCACGAGAAGACGAGGGGGGGGGAGAGTTGTCGGTGACTCGTGGGAGTAGATTGCATGGAAAGCTGAGCATCATCATCATCATCATCAATCATCATCATCATCCATTCTATATCAGAGTGCAGCGTAAGCCGCAGCATCAGTAGCAGACAGTACGCAGCAGATCAGTAGCATCAAGTAGCGCCTAGGAGCAGCAGCAGACAGTAGTCGAGGCCAGCTAAATAAGTAAGTAGTAGTATAGTAGCAGTGTAGCAGCATAGCAGCAGTAGCCAGCAGTAGCCCGCGCAGCAGCAGTAGCAGCAGTCAGGCAACAAAACACAGAGCAGCAGCTAGTAGTAGCAGCCAGCAGTCATAGCGAGCAGTACAGCAGAGCATCACAAAGCAGCAGCAGGCAGCAAACAATAGCAGCCAGCACGATCGCAGTATCAGCGCTGATAGCAGCAAATAGAGTAGCAGCAGCAGAAGGGAGGCAGTAGCAGTACCATTAGCAGCAAGCACCACCACCACCAAGCAGCAGCCAGCAGCCACACACCCACCACCGAGCAGCAGCAGCAGCAGACATACCACCACACAGCAGCAGCAGGCAGCGCAGTAGCAGAGCAGCACCACCACCACCCAGTACCCCAACCAGCAGCAGCATCAGCAGTAAGCAGCATTGCAGCAGCATTACCACCACCACCAGCAGCAGCAGCAGGCCAGTAGCCAGAAGCGCAGCACCACCACCACCACCGAGTAGACCGACCAGCCAGCAGCATGTCAGACGTAGCAGCAGCAGCACAGCGGCAGCAGCGCAGTAGTAGCAGTAGCGTACCAGCAGAAGGCAAGCAGCAGTGAGAGCAGCAGCAGCGAGCAGTAAGTACGCGGCAGTAGCACGTACACACCAGCAGACAGTCGTGAGCAGTGCAGTCACACCAGCAGCAGCGCCAGCCACCACCAACCCGCAGGCATGTACAGTACCACCACACCAGCAGCCCAGCACGCAGATCATGCATCATGCCAGCAGCGAGCAGCACTTACACCACACCAGCAGCAGCAGGCAGCAGAGCAGCTAGCAGAAGCAGCAGCACCACCCACAGCACCACCACCAGCAGCAGCATCCGCAGTGCAGCTAGCAGCAGCAGCAGCATAGCAGCAGCAGCCAGTAGTAGTCAGCAGCCAGCAGCCACCAAGCAGTAGCTAGCAGTCAGCTAGGTACTCAGCTACGTACGTAGCAAGCAGCAGTAGTTAGAGGTAGCGTCAACAGCAGCACAGCAGAATAGCAGCTAGCCATCATAATCC